CTGAAGTCGGACGCTTAACCGACTGCGCCGCCCAGGCGCCCCACTTCCATTTTTTAAAAAATGTTTATTTTATTTATTTTGAGAAAGAGAGAGAGAGAGAGAGAGAGAGAGAATATATCCCAAGCAGGCTCCAAGTTCAGCACAAAGCCTAATGCAGGGCTCGATCCCACAAACCATGAGATCATGACCTGAGCGGAGAACAAGAGTCAGATGCTCAACTGACTGAGCCACCCAGGTGCGTCCTGAGCCTCTTTCATGTTTAAAAAAATTTTTTTTAATGTTTATTTTTGAGAGAGAGAGAATGAATGAATAGCGGAGGGGAAGAGAGAGAGGGAGACACAGAATCCAAAGCAGGCTCCAGGCTCTGAGCTGTCAGCACAGAGCCTGACACGGGGCTTGAACCCACGAACTACAAGACCATGACCTGAGCCAAAGTCAGATGCTTAACCGCCTGAGCCACCCAGGTGCCCTGCTTCTTCCATATTTTTAAAAACAAACAGACCTATATCCTTTGACCCTTGACTACCTAGCTATTGCCTTCTTTCATTTTGCCTTCTTGAAAGAAGAGCCTACCAACTTCCTCCACTTCCTTATCTAGCATTCACTGTCGATCCCACAACAATCTGAACCTCTTCTTACTGAAGTCACCAATAATCTCTTTGTTGATTAAAAAAACCAATGGACACTTTTCAGTATTTATTTTGCTCTACACTTCTTTATAAATTTGTACTTAAAAAAAAATAACTTTGTACTTTTGATGGTCCTTGAAACTTTCTTCCCTTGTCTTCCATGATACGACTGTTTTTCTTCCTACTTGTTGGCTCTGTCTTAGTCTCTCTTTTTTGCTTAGTCTCTCTTTTTTGTCTTCCCTCTTTTCCCCATTCCTTAAAAACTGCTGTTCCCCCAGTGTTCTGTCTTTGGCTTTCTTCTCTTTGTGGCCATTTACTCATTCAGCAAATATTTAGTGAGTACCTTGAATGTGCCATTTGGTCTCATCCATTCTATAATAATTTCAGATTCCATCTAAATGCTAATGGCTCTTAAATCTGTATCTTCAGTTCAGACCTCTCTACATTAAACCCAAAGGCCAGCTACGTTTGAAAAACTCTACTTACATGTCCCCCAAGTTCTTCGAATTCAAAATGCCCCAAACTGAATTCCATCATTTCCACTGTGTGTCTGGGTTCTTTCACACAACATTATTTTTATGAGATTCACCCATGTTTTTCACTGTGATTACAAATAGTTAATTTTATTAATTTTTAAAAAATTTTTCTCACTTTACCCTGTGTTTTCTCCTGTATTCCCTGACTCAATGATTGGTACTACCATTTTAATCAGTTGTCCAAGCAAGAAACTTGAGAACAACCTTGATTCTCCCTACTTACTGACCCTTCCACATCAAATTTGTTACCAAGCAAGCTCTAGACATCCTACCTCCTTGGGTTATTTTCTTTCTAATTTGTACCCTTCTCTTTATTTCTATGGCTACTATCTTTAGTTTAGGCCATAGTTCTCACCTGGGTTATTATAATAGCCTACAGTAGATCTGTGGGGGATATGTTCCAAGACCCCTGGTGGATGCCTGAACCTGCAGATAGTACTGAACTCTATATATACTATGCTTTTTCCTATACATACATACCTATGATAAAGTTTCATTTATAAATCATGCAAGTAAGAGACTGACAGTAACTAAAATTAAAATAGACCAATTATAATCATATACTATAATAAAAGTTACGTGACTGTGCTCCCCCCCCCAAAATATCTTATTGTACTGTCCTTACCCTTTTCCTTGTGATGATATGAGATGATAAAATGTCTACGTGATGAGTGTCTAAGTGAGGTGAATGACATAGGCACTGTGATGTAGTGTTAAGCTACTATTAACCTTCTGACAATACGTGAGAAGGAGAATCACCTGCTTCCAGTCCATGAGTGACCATGAGTAAACTGAAACTGTGGGAAGTGAAATCATGGATAAGGGGGGTACTACTGTAATTTGTTTTCCTACTTCAAGTTATACCTACTTCTAATCTATTTCTGTATACTTGCTAGAGTGATATCCCTGAAGCACACATATCACCATGTAGCCCACTTACTTTCAATAGCTTCCCATAGCTTTCTGGTTGAATTTCAAATTCTCTAAGCAGTCATGTAAGAACTTTCGGGATCTGACTCTTGCCTACCTCTCTTGCCTTGTCTCCCACTGCTCACTTTTTTATCAGTGAAATCTCCAGTGCCACCCCCAGATCTTAAAGATGACAATAAACATGTTAACAGGAATTACTTTAGAATTTCCCCAAACCAACAGAATGCTTAGCTAACATCTCTAAACTTCTGGTAGAGGAGAAGCTGAGAAACAGAAGCTCTATCATTCTACTCATACACTTAAATGTTTCCCATCAAATTTTAAGTCCCTTTTACCTGTTGCTTCAGATGATTAAGTTCAGCCGTCTGGGGATCGATATTAACAACAGGTTTATTCTTGATTTTTCTTGCTCTGTCAGCATAGCGAAGGGTATTTAATGTTTCTTCTAGATTGGAGTCAGCAGGACTCACACAGGCTATCATAAGTGTATGGCTATTACCTCCTAGAGAATCTGAAAAATAACAATAGGAGGAAATAAAATCAAACAAGCAAGATGCAAGGAAAGCTGTCCATTTAGGTGGGTGCCTTCAAACTCAGAGCTCTAAGAAAAACATTTTTAATAATCTGCAAATTTCCTGTTAGTAAAAATACTAAGATTTTTTGTTGCATAAATGATATAGTTTAGAATCCTATTCCATGTGTCCCCATTCGTAAGACTGTGATTTTGGCAGTTAGTTGGGTTAAAACAACTCAGGCCTAGCACAAGTAAGTTAGGAGCCACTAGTGGAATTAAACATTCTTAGGATGCCCTCTCTAGGTAGGTTTTAATTATTCAGGGAATTCTGCTTATCAAGTACTAATAAACAGTAATCAAGTTCATTTTCGGTTACAAAGTATAAAGTTCATTTGGCATTCTGTAGATTTCTTGTCTTTCAAACCCATCTATGAAGACACCTTTCCATTATCTTACAAGCCTGCCTACTAATTGGTCTCTTTCCGATTTATCACTTAGATAGCTCTGTATAGGATAGTCCAAAAATCTGTTCACCGATCCCGTCTTTACCTTCTCAACACTATTACTCTGAGTTACTCTCTTATTTTTAGAGGCACTCTGGGCTTACCTTGAAGCAGTCGAGTCAACTTGGAATCTCTGTATGGCACAAAGCCACCCTTTTTGTCATCTCCAAGAGCACTGATCACATTTCCCAAGCACAGGAGGCCTCGGTTAATATTAATGCCTAGTAGCAGCAAACACAATTTAAATTGCTTGGTAAAGCATTGAACATACACCTACATAAAATAAAAACCCCACAGAAATATTAAATCATCACTCTTAAGGAGACTTCTTGATCTTCTTCACTTTTCTGAAAACAAAGGTCTAAATGTTGGATATGCACAACTGAATTTGTTGAGACTTCTTGCCCTTTCCCTTGGAAACAAAGTAGAAAGACAGATAACTATCACCATGACAACAACAATTTGTATATTTACTTTTTATATCCATTACCACTTTTAATTCTCAAATTAGTGCTGAGAAATTAGATGAACAGCTATTTTTTATCATGTCACTAAATTATATTTACTATCATTCTCACTTTACAGATAAGGAAACTAGATCAGAGTTTCTATGACTTGTCTAAGGTCAAACAGCTGGTGAGTGGTAGGCCTGACATTCCATCTTAGGATTTCGGTTAAGTCCTATGCTTTTTCTTTCACACCACAGAGGAATACATTTTCTCTTGTTGCTTTAAAAAGGGTAAAGATTCTTTTCCACTTCTTGAATTCCAAAGTTTGCTTTTTAAACCCTGTAATAATTTCTGAGGTCCTTCTAAAGCCTCTGACCTTCCCATGATTATGTTTACTGTGAAAAGGCTACATAGTATAGTGGTTAAGTGCACAGGCTTTGGTGTCAGATAGACTTAGGTTCTAATCCTGGCTCTATCACTGACTACCTATATGATTTTGGGTTCTGCTCTAAAATGAGGCACATCTATCTACCTCATTGGGTTGTGGTGGAGAATTAAATGATATACAAAGTGGGGTGCCTGGGTGGCTCAGTCAGGTGAGTGTCCGACTTCGACTCAGGTCATGATCTCATGGTTCGGGGGTTCGAGGCCTGCCTTGGGCTCTCTGCTGTCAGCACAGAGCCTACTTCAGATGCTGTCCCCATCTCTCTGCCTTTATCCCACTCACGCTCTCTCTCTCAAAAATAAAAAAAGATAATTATACAAAGTTAAATGATAAATAAATGGTATCATTTTTGTTTAATGCTACTCTACCTTTTTATTTACTCAGCCATACTGTGGACTCCCATACAACCAGAAATAACTATATATCTACAAGATCCTGAGCTCCAAAACTCCTCTCTGACTGCATTCTACTAGCTTTTCATTTCTTTCATGGGTCCTGCTCTTCACCCTTATTATAGCCACCAATTTACTGACACTTTCTAATACTCCCAGTAGATCATCCTCCCCTGGGCCTTAAACTATGTATTCTAGACACTATGATCGATCATTTCAGTTAGGCTTTCTCAAGCACTCACTAGACCCATGACCTTCTGCCTTCCCATGATGTCAATTCCCAGTCACACATTAAACTAACTGTGGTGTGTGTGTGTGTGTGTGTGTGTGTGTGTGTGTGTGTGTGTGTAAGTTACTGTAGGCTGCAATGCTGGAGAAAGTCGCATAACTAAATGGACTAGATCCATTCATTATAAAACACTGGTCTCTGACTTTTGCTGAACACTTCATCAAGCGGCAATCTTTTCTTCCTCATTCCTACTTCACCACAGCAGCTATTCTAAACACTCATCATTTTCAAGACTGTAAATCTACCTTCACTCTATTAGTGGATGATTTCAACAAATACAAAGTTATCCACAAGGGAAGGTTTTCCCTCTCCTCACCTCACAGTCTTTTCTTTGCTGTTACTGATTCCTTCATCCTTCTCCTTGTTTCAGAGGAGTAAATAACCACCTTTATTTCCCCTTTAGTGTGCTGGTGTCTCTAGTCCCCCCCATTTTCTCTGGGACCTTGAAACCTTTGATCTTCTCTCTCTCTCTTAGATCTTTAATTTATTTTACCTTTACTAATTCCTTCTTTTCAGTCTCTATACATGCTCAAATCTCCCAAATCTAAAACAAAACCAATCCCTTCAAGCAACCATTCCTGTCTTTTCCTTTTATTGCCAGCTTAAAGGCATACCATTTTTCAGGGCCATTTATCCTACCCAGGATGTGAAGGAGAGTCTGCTGAGATTTATCAAAGCTGCTCACCAATACCTGTACTAATCCTTGTATTAGTTCATTCCTTTCTTTTCTTTCCCCTTTGAGCCAAACAGAACACAGTTCCATCTCATTGGCTCATATCCCATCTGGGATGTTAAGGAATAGACTGCTGAGGTTTTTCAAACCTGCTGAGCAAAACTTCCATCTATAGTGTCGTACAAGAACAACAATAAAAAAATCTAGATGAACCCTGAGAAGAATCTATGGCAACTTTGATCTAAGCAAGAATCATTCACTTGGGTATAAAGAGGCTGTTTTTTTTCTTTTTCAAATGAGAATTGGGGCTTTGGAATAGAAAGAAGCAAGGGAAATGAATGTCTCTCTAGAAAGAACCCATCACAAAACAGGATCTGATTTTCTGTTAAGAGATTTAAAATGATGAGTTCATGACATGGATGGAGTGTACATCATAAAGACTGGGAAGAACATGTTTGCAGAGGTTTAAATTTCTGATCAATGATGGCTATGGAGAAAAAATGTCCAGATAAAATTATAAAACCAGAAGTTATTCTAAGATTGAGAATAGATCAAGCAAGGAGAGGATCAAGAATACTACTTGACATTTTTGGGTGTTTATTTACTATGGCAACAAACAAATTTTGCTTTTTAGGGGACATCTGGCAATACCTGGAGACATTTTGGTTGTCACAATTTGTGGGGTGGCAGGCAGTGCTACTGGTATCTGGTGGGTAGAGGGCAAGGATGCCACTATCCTACCAAGAGACTGGACAGCGCCCCCCCCCCAAATGATCTGATCCGAAATGTTAATAGTGCCACAGCTGAGAAACTCTGCTCTACAGATGAAGAAAATATCTGCAAGCCTAAGGCAGATAACCAAGTAAAATGGGGTGAAAAATGGAAGTAATATAGTACTGATATGGTCTGCCTAGTCAGAGAGAAAGGGAATGATCTGTTACTGCAATGGATCACAAAACTTATAGGAGTAAGTACTGAGAGGGGACAGAGTAGAAGGGAATTTGATTAGGAGACAGAATCTTCACTCAGACTGCCTCTGCCACTTACCAATATGTGTGAGCTTGGATAAGCCACTGAAACTCTCCTTTATTCATAAAATAGGTGTAATACATACCTTACCTCAGGGGACTATGATAAAAATCAAATTTGATCTACAAAGTGCTACCTACATGTTTTTATTAATAGGGTAGACAAACTTGGATTATTTGGATCTCTACTAAATTACATGAGGCTGAAAGTAGACAGCACCTGACAAATTCCTAATCTATTCTGATAACAGTTTCTTCACTCAGAAGATACTGTGAGTGAATAAGGAAATGGCTGCTTTGGCCTTCAAGCTGATACACATGGAAGAACTGATTATAGAAGTAAAATGATGGGAATCTGTTTGCTGGGGACTGAGGGGCACCGTCATACACCAGTATGGTAGATGTTAAGAAAACAGATCCACAAAATTCAGGAAAAAAGACAGCTAACTTTCTGGGAACAGGACGTCTAAAAGAGAAAAAGGATAGAAGGCTTTCACAACATAAAACTGTAATTACCTAGTCACAAATTATTCCAATAAAAAATTCGATGTGGCTTCACAGAGATCAACGTAACAAATAAATTCATATACAAAAAGAACACAGAGCATTATAGGAAGTTTGACCACCAGCATTTCTCTCCTCTCCCTCCTTAAAACACCACTAAAAGGAATTTTAAAAGTACTCACCCACAAGATCACAGAACATAGGAGAGAAATATCAGTATAGAGGAGGTTTCAACATATTTTTAGAGTACACGTAGACAAGCAATAACGGACTTAGCAAGATGGAAGAAGCCTCAATCTAAAGAGCCTTCGGAGGGACAATAATGACGACAGTGACAATAACAGCTAAGTTTATATAGTGTATACCTATTCTAGGTACTTTATACATATTAACTCATTTAATCCTCACAATAGTCCTATGAAGTATGATCATAGTTGTATTGACAGATATGAGAGTTGAGGCACAAAGAGGTTAGGGAAGTTGCCTAAGGTCATGCAGCTAATAAGTGGCAGAGTCAGGACTCAAATAAAGGCAGTCTGGCTCCAAAGTCCATGGCCTTAATCTCTATGCTCTATGAAAATGAGCTGATTTATTCAGAGGCACCAGGTACATTGGAAAGGGGACAGACTTGAGGCTGATAAGAGGGGATAGGTAGAAAAAGCATATAAAGAACTCTGGAACTCTCAAGTCTCTGCCCCAGAATCATGCAACTAATGTGTTCCCCATTCTCCATCATTCCCAGGCTACTTAATAGGATGGCTTTTCTAATACCCACCCATTAAATGTTGATCTTCTCTTGAAACTGCCTTAAGCTCTTTGCTTACTATATATATTCTCCCTGGGTTTATACAGCCTAGAGTTCCAATAAATACCGATAAGAATGACTCCCTAATCTGCATCTCCAAACGAGACCTCTTTCCTGTTGTCCAGAGCTGTATTTTAGCTGCTTACTGAATAACCTCCAGTGGGCTGTGCCCATGAGGCATTGCATAAAAATACTGGACAAAACAGAATTCATCTTTCAGTGTAAATCTATTTCACTTCTACCACTGTTCTTTCCCATTTTTTCGCCATCTAACCAGTCATCCAACAAACAGCAAACCTGAGACATCCTGGACTCGTCTCTTTTCTCACCCCACACATCTGAGTCCTTTTCATCGAACACTTAGTGAACAGGCACAATGTTCCAGGCACTGTGCTAGGTATTAGAGATACAAAGATGAATAAGTCACAATCTCCACTCTCAAGGAGTTCATAATCTACAGGGAGAGATGGATGCACAAACAAAAATAATTGCAAATATAACATTAAAGTATACATATAGTCGAAATGGGTTCTCATAAGAGGGAGTGGTAAACTTTACCTGGGAAGGTAGCAGACGGCTTCAGAAAAGAATGAAAAATTTGAGCTGAACTGTGAAGGATGACTAGAACAGTGCCAG